CAGCATAGTACTTCCGTTATGCCACGACTACTTCCTCCCATATCCTCTTCAACTCAACATTAATGTATCAACTTAACATTCGGCGTCATAGAATACTGTCAGAGTTTGAAACAACCTAGAAGAACAAAGTGTAGGACATCCACTGTTGTTGTTATTATTATTATTGTTATTATATTATGAGCCGGGATAGCGCAGTCGGTATAGCGACAAGCTACGGGCTGGACGACCGAGGTGTCGGAGTTCGAGTCCCGGTGGGGTCAAGAATTTATCTATTCCACGTCGTCCAGACCGGCTCTGGGGTCCACTCAACTTCCTATCCAATGGGTACTGGGGTCTCTATCCTCGGGGGTAAAGCGGCCGTGGTGTGAAGCTGAACACTCACCTCCACCTCGTGCGAAGTCAAGAAAATGCTGATCTATATATCCACTCCCCAATATGCCGACATACCGTGAGCTGCAAGATCATATGGTTTATTTAATTGTGTTAAGCTCTGTCAAATGACACTCTCAGTAGCTGATGATGCAGGACTACGGAATCGAATGGTAGGAACGTTCGTGCACATCAACTGGAATAAGAAGTTGTCCTGAAGACAGAGGCATTATGTTCTTTCGAAACGTTTGGGGCTAATAAACCAGACTACTTGTTCCAGAAAGCTATAATATGAACTTTAACCGCCCAGCCTGAAATATCTTAAACACCGTGTCTTGTATGTTTTCAGTTGTCTGTAATATTGAAACCATTGTATGTTTATTGTTTATTCGGTGATGAATTTTGTACCGTGTCATGAAGAAGTGTTTCTAAAAGCGGATAAATTTAGAAATGGTTGTTCTGATAACAGCTGCAGATCTCTGGCGTTTCTAATCCCTTTGCAGCTGCCCGACTTACTTCTATAGATGGCCGCGCCATAGCTCAAGCGGTTAGTCGCTGGCTTCCCACCGCGGCGGCTCGGGTTCAATCCCGGGTCTGGTCAAGTGGGATTTGTGGTGGACGAAGTGGCGTTGGGGCAGGTTTTCTCCGAGTACTTCGGTTTCCCCTGCCAATCTTCATTCCACCAATTGCTCAACAATAACCCTCACCTATCATCTGGGGCTGGTACCACAGGCCAGAATTGGCCGCAGTTCCACCCCACTAGCAATAAAAAAATACTTCTGTAGATTATCGTCTGGTGGGGTCCTGGTTTCTTTGACTGCCTCTCGCCGACACAAAGCAGGCCACATACCATGGCTACGTGATCCTTTCCATTGGACCCTGCACTGAGCCAGCATGCATGTTGCAGCTCTCGGGAAAGTTGCGGTCTAATGGGTACGTGGATGGCCCCGGTTTATGTCTCGACCAGGGGAGAGCCTGCGCTGACTTAAGCTTTCACAGTTCTCCGTAGTAACTCCAGGAAAATCATCGGGCATTACCTGAAGTTTATCCACCAACACCTTCCTTTCACATCCCGTTTAATTCATTATTCATTTATCAATCTAACATTGAACGATGTACATGTATTCTGATCCTATGATAGTGTCATTAAATGCATCATAACTAAAGAGAAAATTAAGGCCATAGCTCAGGCTTCCCATCGCAGCGGCCCGGGTTCGAGCTTAAACCCTGTCGAAAAATTAAGGAACCGGGGTAGTGTAGTCGGTATAGCGACTGGCTTCCGTTAGGATCAAGAATTTTCTGTTCTCCAAATCGTCCAGACCGACTCTGGGGTCCACCCAATCTCCTATACAATGATTTCAGGGGACTCTTTCCCCGGGGGTAAAGTGGTCGGGGCGTGAAGCTGACCACTCACCTCCAGCTAGTGCCTAGGTCAAGAAAATTTGGATATATATATATATCCCCACCCCCATACGCCTTCATGGCGTAGTGCTTATTTCGTTGATTCGAAAAATTAAATAGCTGTTGTATAAAGATGTAACTCTGATATCTTGCTTTTATGCATGTGACACTTGATTCTCACACCAGGGTAAACACGGGCTAAGGATATCTAACACCAGACGGAAATATCTGGACTTCAGAGGAATGAAGTAAGAGACTGCTTAGTATTGCATGGTTAGGAGCTTCATAGATCAGTTTCCCCAGCAAATATTATACGAATACAAAATGAAGGTGGGTCAAATTGAGGTTCATGTATAGCTCCTGGGAAAGAAGAAAGGTACAGACAAAATTACCTTCGGTGTGCAAAACCGAGATTATTGGCCGTGGGGATCCGTTGCGCTGACCACGTGACACCCTCTATCCGCTAAAGTTGGCATTAACTTCGTCGACAAGCGGCGGTCGCTCGGTAGGTATAGTTCGCTTGCGGACTACAGGCCACGGAGTTTGTTTGTTTGTGCTCAGGGGGAAGAGATCACTCGGGAGAAGTGTGTGCTGACAGGGCTAGGCGTGGTAGACAAGAGGGGCTGGAAGGAGGCCTCGGTCCATACGGCCCAGGGGAATCACGGTAATGAAATTTGGGGTACCTTGAAATCCAGAGAACATGGTGGCTAGCTGAGCCTCTCATGAAGAAATTTGCTGCATGGAGTCAGTTATGTAATTTGGTAGTTGCGAAAAGCAAAGTAACGAAGTACTGGTGAAAACTGTATAACTAGGAACTTCACTAATTGTTAGAGGCCGTGCCATAGCTCACACTGTTAGTCTCCCGCTTCCCACCTCGGTGGCCCGGCTTCGAACCCAAATCATGTGGGAGTGGTGGTTGATAAAGTGGCAAAGGGGCAGATTTTCTCCGCCTACTTCGGTTTCCCTTGTCAATTCGCATTCCACCGACTGCTCCACAGTCATCATCATGTATAATCCAGGGCTGGTACGACTGGGCAATTAGTGGCCGACGTACCAAGTGGACTCAGTCTCACCCCACCCCAAGAAACTAAAAATAAAGTGTTCTTTTTTTATTGCTAGTGGGGTGGGACTAAGTCCCTTGCACTGCGGCCACTTCTGGTCAATTGTGCCAGCCCCAGATGATAGGTGAGGGTGATTGTGGAGCAATTGGTGGAATGAAGATTGGCAGGGGAAACCGAAGTATTCGGAGAAAGCCTGCGCCAGCGCCAGCGCCACTTTGTCCACCACAAATCCCACTTGACCAGACCCCGGGATCGAACCCGGGCCGCCGCGATTGGAAGCCAGCGACTAACCGCTTGAGCTATGGCGCGTCCTAAAATAAAGTGTTACTAAATGACCAAATAGAGCATTATGTGGTGGGCAGAATATGCGGCATGCATGGAGTAAAGTGAAATATCTATAGATTTTTATCGGAGAGCTCAAACGAAGAGACACTTGAACGAAGAATGGTGTATTAATTTTAAATGCATATTAGAGAAACAGGCAATAGTGTCTAAAAGCAGGTTTTTGTGAACACAGTCACGAACGTTAAGGTTCAGTATAAACACAGAATTTCTTGAAAAGAAAAGTAGTTATCAACAGTTGCAAGATGACGTGTACCATGGCTTCAGGTCCCTTGGTTATTTAATCATATTGTTCAACTACATAAATTATAGGCGTATAAGGTCAGTATGTTTTTAGAGTAATTACGCATTATCAACTCAGAAGACTGCGTAAGAAAGTGATCATGACATATTTAACGGCTTAAGGAACTGTGGTAACTATATATCACCCGTAAGATTTGAGGTTTTCACGGCGGTGACTATGAAGAAAGCAGTCTTCTGGGATGTGGCACCGTGTAGATGTGGTGTTAACCGACGTTTCGGAGGAACGTATCTCCTCCATCTTCGGGGTAGGAGGAAAAATAAGAAAAATCTGCAAACGAAGAGACAGTGAGAACAGGTGCAAGCAGACTAATGTTGGAAATAAACTCAGCTCATATAGCTCATATATTTTTCCTTCTACCCTGAAGATGGAGGCGATACGTTCCTCCGAAACGTCGGTTAACACCACATCTACACGGTGCCACATCCAAGAAGACTGCTTTCTTTATATATCACCTGATTCAACGTTGTCCACACCCTCAGAATAAAGAGAGGTTGCTTCAATAAACTCTATTAACAGGCTGGTATTTGTAACGGATACTCAGTGTGTTTCCTGAGAGGAATAATATTACGTTTAGATACGTCGAGGTGACATTCATTCTTCATAATTATCCTGTAATGACTAAGAAAAGAACGAGAAACTTCTGTCAGGGCAGTAAGTGTGCGAACTCAGAATCCGGATTCGAAAATTTCCGAGAATGGGGCAGGATTGTCAAATATAAAACTGCAATGTTGATATTATCCTGTGCAGGCAACAAAGTTCAATGAGTAAATCAGGAAGATAATTGGTATTCATTAACCCCTGGAGCATCGAGAGAGAGAGAGAGAGAGAGTGGTGGAATAGTGAGTCAGTATATTTTATTTGGGGGGAAGGCAAGAAAGAATTATTTTCTTGCAGTGTTCGCTCATTCTTATGGTAGAAGCACATTTGAAAGAGGGCAAAGCGAAGAGAAGTAAAGAAAGAAAAGGATAAGAAGATGGACGTTTTTATGATGGAAGAAAGAAGTTGAACATGGGAGTTTCTACTTGTGATTGGAATTTTGATGTCAAAGGGCTGCATTAAAGACAATTTTTGATTTGACATTGTGAGGGGTACATTAGGCCGCCGTTTTGATGTTGCCATTGGCGGGGCTGAATGCAGTGCAGCCAGAAATTTGGGTAGCAACAAGATATTTTCTCTAGGACCTAAGAAAGGAGCGGAAAACCTTGGTCAGGTTGACCACTTCCAAATAATATTTAAAACGTCGGTTCCAACGTCACAGGAAACACACTCCATCTCCATCACAAAGACCAACAGGTTAATTCTATTTCTGTTTGGGGAAATTCATTGCGCTTTACATGCTTGAAGAGTGGAAGGGGAAGGAGAACTGTGTCGCTGGACGCAGGCTAGTTGCAATACACGCGAGTCGCCTCTTTTTAGTTCAGAATCTAATTTACAGATGGTGCGTGCTGCGTTTTGCGTTGGCTCTTGAAAGGAGGGTGGGGGTAGTCTCCCCTCCATGGTGATTGTAAGCGACAATACAACCCAGTTGAGTGGCTGAGCTTGCAGTGAGAGAACGCGGTGAGAGTGTTGATTGTTGCTGACATGGCCAGGTAAATGTGGAGGCGCCAGATGCGATCGATACGTCGCTATTCTATCTTTAGATCATTACTTGACAGAAAGAATATCGACGCCACTGAATTTTTAATATTCTCGTCTTGTTGTGGTTAGGGTTCGTTGATCGCAAGCAGCGGGGGTGGATTTGTATATCTGAGCCATCTGGCGACGAATTCTGACACAATCCTCGTTTCCGGTGTCGCGAGAGTTCTATCCGTTCTCCTTAGATGGCAGCCATGTTACGAGCCCTAAAAATGGCAATCGTCGCGAAGCGTGTTCGGTCGTGATGAATACAAATACGTTTTGTGTCAAGAGCTATCCCAGCAACTGGTATCAGAGTTCTCGTTGATAAGTTGCATTCCGCTGTTTTTGTGTCTGAGGAGAACTGTTGAATCACTCAGTTCAATTGACAACAATGGCATGGTTATTTTGAAAGCGGTAACTTCGGATGGAGTCGTGTGCTTCCGGTAGCCGATCGCAGCTTTGCCTGGGACTGAGAGTCGACAGTTGATTGTTTAGTTTCTCACGTGTCGTTTGTGAATGTGTGGAAGCGCAGAAGACGATGGGTTGGACTTAAAATAGGCGTGATTCCTTGTTTCTGTGAAGAGGATTTTACGACAGGGTAAACCACAGAGTCGATGTTTAGAAATAGAGTAGAGCAGATATTTGTGTGGGAATCCAGCTGGCTGTGTTTGTGCGTTCCACTTCACTAATGTATGTTCTCCTGAACAATACTGTTGTATCATTTTAATTGTTCAGCTTAGATTTCTGAGATTCAGAATAGATTATTCATCCCCTAACCCCTGCCCCTGTTGTTGTGTTGTCCGGTAATGGAGAGTTGATGATTAACATGCATGAGTCTTAACCCCTTGAATCCTAAAGTTCATCCAAATGATAAATAACAATTCAACTCCTGTCACAGTTATTGAGAAAATCAGTTAATGCTGTCAAGAAAATAATCACTCTTTATTATGAGATTCGTAATAAATATGTAAACACAGAATGTAAGGGAAAAGGCAGAGCGATTAATTAATGTTAAAACAGGCGTTACGTATCGTAACACTATGCACAAAAGGGCTGACAAGCCCCTTATTTCGTCGTCACTCTTATGTGTCGTGACAAGGGGTAACCGGGATAGCCTAGCATCGGTGCATTGGCCAGGTTCACTTGTACTTGCTAAACCTATAAAACAGGAAAATTTCGTATCATTCGCGTAGAAACTTGGTGAACGGCCACATGTTTCTGGTTCGTTCACAACGAAAAGTTGCAAAAATATATGTCTGTCATCCTTGCCTAATGACTCTGTTGCAATCAAGAACCACTGAAAGTTTGCGTGAAGTGGGATAGTGGAGAGTATTACGAATGGTTTCTTATACATTCAAATTTTAGTTGAAAATGGGTAACAGTGCAGTAAACCTTCGCTAATCCGGATTAATCTGGGGGGAGATATAACCCAGATTGAGCGATAATCCAGATTCATGAAGCTAAAAGTAGCCCTAAAAGACAAAAAGAAAACTTAGAACAGAAATAATTTGAATATATAATGCTATACATAGTGTGATGAAAATAAATAACAAAATATTACTGTAGAGCCTGTATTTAAAAACTAAAAAGTCAGTACACTTAGTCATCGATAGAAGGCTCAGAATTTATACTTATTTTTTAACGTAATAATGCAGATCTAAAGAAACTGTTAAGTTTTGTCTGAGCAGACAAGAGACTCAGCTGCCTTCCTAAATGCAATGTGTCTTTTAAAGTTTGTATTAAACTGTGCGCAACATTTTTCTTTTTCGATCCGGATTATCCGACGTCAGGATTAGCTGTAACCGGATTAACGAGGGTTTATTTTAAGGCATAGTTTACAGGAATAAGCACACGATTTTCTGCGTTCATCTCGAGCGTAACTCGCTGAACATTTATGGGAACGAAAAATATTTTGAACAGAAGCCGTAGAGGATAATGACACATGCATATGCCCGTATATCTTACGGGTTTCGATATTATTCAAATTGATCTGTAGCACTAGAATTGCTATATCACACGTACATTTAGTGACTCGTTTGAAATCACACGTGTCTTGTCGTTTAGCCATTTTTCACAGTGGTTAAACCAATTCTTTATTCGGAATTACTAGGATTTTGGACTTGTCCATCGTCCTATAGTCTATAGCACAGCGTTTCGAAAACTAGATCTGTTTCCGTCTTCGGATGAGTGGGGGAGGCACCTATTCTGTTGGGTCCGTTAGAAAGATCTAACCTCAATCACTGGATGACTCCATATCAATATAACTACAGCTTGAGCAGGCTTTGTCTAAGGGAGATAACAGGAAAATATACACCCTTTAGAATCTATTGTTCATTGATGGACATTTTGCTTATTTTATTTATTTGGGTTCCTTTACGGTGCCGTTTCCACTGCAACGAGGGAATAAAACATCTTGGTAAAATCTATATGCATTGATTGACCGAAAGGTTTACAAAAGCGACTGGTTTTTGGCTACTGTAAGCAGAGGGAAGCAAACTCAGCAGGTAACTACGGGTAGGAAGGGGGACTCGTAAAGTTTACTTTGTTATTGCATTCATTTCCAGCGTTATAAATATTAGGCACGCCTTCAGAATATAATACGAAAGGACTAATGATGTTCGTATTATGAAATATAGCAACAAATGTAGCAATCACTTAATGAGTGTCGTACCATAACATTAACCTAAGCCGATTAAAGCTATAATGGTCCACTACATTTCAGGTCAGGGACGCCATAAATGCGCTTGTATTCAAAAGATTAGCTTAATCTTGTGTTGATTTGGGAAACGTAAATTTATAATATAATATTACAACGCAGTTTTATAAAGTCTACAGCCCAATTTAAGGTAGACAGAATTTATACTTAAATAATAAACGATTCCCTATGAGGTAACAAAATTGTATAACTTCATAAACTATACGAGTATAAATCTTTAACGTTATTCCATGAACTACCTTTTCGTTGTTGTAATATAAACTTAACGACGCGGGGCTACCGACACTAGTACTTGTGGAAATAAGAAAGTGGACTTTATGAGGTCTCCTAAGAACTACTGGTACAGCTATGCTGTGTGTATGTTTTCGGCCGGTGACATATCGTCAGCAAATCCTGGATGTGGGATCCTCGTGGCCATCGCTATGAACACTGTTGACATCGTCTACATAGACTAGCAGATGATGTGTCCCATTCAATTCCTGTTCCATCACGTTTTCTTGGATCTTCCTAAAGGCATGTTCTAAAGTAAAACTAAAAAGCGATGGGGATAAAGCATCTCCTTGTTTCAGACATGTCTGAATGGGAAAAATTGAACCCCTATAGATTTTACTATGTATTTAATTTAAGCACAAAACGAGTATAATTAGCGCAACTTGGTCCCTGGTTGTACCAAACCCAGTGAGAACGTGCCGGAATATTTCTCTTGACACCGAACCACATGCTGTAAATAACCGCCGTTCTGTCACATTGTGCCCCGATAATTGTTGTTGTAGAATATCGGATTAGTAGTGGACCTGTTGTGATCAACTGAGTAGGTTTTACCTGAAGAAGGAGACAGAATCTAGTCTCCGAAACTTTACGTTTTGAAATATAAACAGGACGATGGATATGTCCAGAAACATAATACTTGTACATGGAGTTCTACCTCCACTCTCCCATACTTCTTCGTGGCTTGGCACTTAAGTAAGCACAAAGACAACTTTTTACATTATTTTCATTCTGTAATTCTGGCAGCTCATTCGCCCAAGGAGTCCAACCGAATGTGTAAGATCTAGAAAAACCGAGGTGAACGGAGAAGTTCATGGAGGTAGGCCTAGGCCCACTGGGGCTGTAGTGCCAAGGAGAAAAAAATTCTGGCAGCAGAGTCTGAAATCAGTGTTTTCCCAGGGCGTTCTGATCATCAGCTTTAGAGCCGCTGGGACCAACCCAAGCATTTATCTGGTGGGGTTCAAGATAAAGACGGACGAAGAGTGATGCTGATTATTTCCCTCCACAGGGTGATTATCAGAAGGTTAACAGACCTGGCGTTCTGAAACACAAGACTAAACAGGCCAACTGAATTCAGTCCTCCAGAACGGGATGTAAGGGAACACGACACGTCTTCTGCAGCGGAACATTTTTGAAAGTATTGAATTCTGAATGAGGGACTAGCTGTAATAAAAATTGTTTGGCGACAGCCTGTGGCCGCATTGGTCCAATTGGGCGCGCCCAACTATTCTATTGTTCTGGTGCAATTTTCATTTAAACTGAAGTGAACAGCACAACAGTGACTGACAGCACGGGGAGGCCCGCTCCACTGTCTGGGAGAATAGAGAAGGCTGCATAATTAAGGAGGAACTCGTCAGTTTGTCAGCTACAATTCATTTACTATTACTAGGAATATTACGTCAAGAAGAACTGGATAAGTGAAGCGTGTAGCACGCATGGGGAAAAAGAAATACATAGAGCTACTTAAATTTTATTTCGGGAGTTTTAGATACAAGGAAAGAGATTATCTGATATATCAAATAATATATGGATGATATTGGAATGTATTTTAGATAACTAAGTTTCCAAGTACTTAACGATATCTTCTGATGACGGTCTTTTGTCAACACGATAATGGATATTATGGTTTCATAAAAGCACTGGTTTCCTTGTTCGACCGAGCAGCTCTCATCTGTACCGCGGAGAACAGTTTGTCAAATGGAAGACACCTCGCAGCCAGCTGATTCCATGGAGAAGCTAGTAGTCGCCTAGTTAGTCAAAAAATTCCCTCCCCTTATTTGGAAATCGAAGTTAACATCACCGTGTTCCCAAGAACTCAACCTCGGTTGTCCCGACGTTTCAGAGGAATGTATTGCCTTAATTTTCAAGAACTTGAAGGAGTAGATACTGTTTTCATCCAAAACGTCAGTACGCATCATACACATATTATTAAAGGAGTTAAACGGAATACGCTCAACTGATCAAAGTAGTGGACACATCCGGTTTGTTCTGTCCAAAATATAGTAAAGGCTCACAGTACCAAATTGCATCAAAATGTATTAATGTGGAACGTGGAACGGCCGGAGGGACAGACACTCATATTCCGAAAGGAACACAAGCATCTGAAACAAGCTGGTGAAGGTTGAAACTCATGTAGGTGGATGTGTGTAGGATCTGAGGTTCTAGCAGCGGTGGTTATGAAGAGTTATATCTTCTGGGATATAGCGGTGTGTAGCCCGTTGAAAGTCAACCGACCTTTCAGAGAAACATGTCACCTCCACCTTCAGGGTCGGAGAATAACTAAGCTAGAATCCAGCGTGAAGCACGTAGCAAGCAGGCGACATGTTCATCCGAAACGTCTGCGGACTTTCAACGGATCACACGGCTTCATATCGAGAATATAGAACTCTTCAGTATGCGTATAGACAACAAATTAACATTTTGTACATTTTATTGTATGGGGGCACGAGGTAGCGTAGTTGGTTGATGGAAGAAGGTCGCGGGTTCGATTCTAGATGAGGTCATTGATTTTTTCAATTTACCTAATCTTTGTGGCCGCTTCATAGCTCAAGCGGTTAGTCGCTGGCTTCCCACCGCGGTGGCCCGGGTTCGATCCCGGGTCTGGTCAAGTGGGA